GAAATGGGTCTAGATAATCCACTTCCTCCAGGGTTCTCATCAACTGCAGACTGACCTCCTTCTCAATAACCTTCCTCAGAAGGGGAAGATTGGAGACTGGACAATAGTTATCAGGAACCATTGGATCCAAGGATGGCTTCTTAAGGAGAGGCCACACCACTGTCTCTTTCAAGACAGGAGGCTCCTGGATCCAGTAAACTTATGGCCCAACTAACATCACAGAGAACTCTGTCCACTTCCTCAGGAGTCACCGGCTCAAACTCATCCCAGATCACACCACTGGACTATGTATGCTCCAGGTACCTCACCCTGATCTAATCAGTCAGAATTCAAGCTGGAGCAGATCTGAGCAATTTTATCTGCCAGATAGACTGAATAATCCTCACTGCAGCCTGGCCTTATGCATGAGAATAAAGTTTAAAATTATTTTTCCATCCCAGTAACTTCCAAAGAAGACTTGGCTCTTTTAATGGTGGGAGCCCAATTTGATTATGAGTAAAAAGAGAACAGGTCCCTGCCATGATACCTTTGACATTACATATTTCTGATTATGTCTGTAATGATTTTTGGGCTTGGTCGCTGGGTTCCTCAAGGAAAAAAAAATAGATGCCCACTGGTAAACTGAAAATCAGAAAAGTGAAGACTTCCATCATTATAAGATAACCATAAAGAAAATCTAGAGGTTTGTCTTCCTATTAAAAAATTCTTAATAATTTATCAAACTGCTTAAATTATTTAAAGGATATTAACATATACTATAATTAGTAGTTAATCTAAGATATATGCATTTTGAGATAATCATTTTTTAAAACTTATCTTTCCTCATATTCTCATCAGAATTCTAAATCATTTCTTCATTTTCTGTTAGGTTTATTAGGTTTTTCTCCCATTTTATCCTCACTCAGCATAAGTTGGGCTGGGAAAGAGTGGCTACCCCAGATTCACCCAGTGAGTGTCCATGGGGGAAGATAGAGTGGAATCTGGGTCTCCCTGCTCCTAGGCCATCATCTTCACCACCACACCATGTTTCTATTGATATTAGTGTGATTAAAACAATTTGACATAGATATAAGTTATAAGCACATAATTTTCTTTGGCATAATTAAGATTATTTAAGAAAATCAAAATGTCAGATAAATCTTTGATCTTTACAGATTTTCATAGATACATTAGAGCAGGTCTGTACAACATACAGCCCTCAGGCTTCATGCAGGCAGCATTTTTTAAAAAGTAATAAATGAACTACCGCTGCGCTGGAAAGTCATGCTGCCAAGCACCTCTGTGTCTCACCGTTGCTGCTAGCTCCAGTGTTGTTTCCATTCCACTAGCCACCAAAGAGCTGATCAGTGTGCCAAGTATTCCTTTGCAGCCTACGATGATTTTTAATTTATCAATGTGGCCCTTTCCCCTCTACAACTTGTGTAGGCCTGCATTAGGGTCTTTAAGCAGTATATGAAATTTGTTTCAATTGAATAGCCTGATAGTTTACCATATTGTACTATACCTGTACTTTTGGTAAAGAGAATTCAACAGACATTTTTATTTCTCTAACATTGTTCTTTTGATAGGGAGAGTAGCCACCTTGACTGGGGTAGAGTAATTCCTGCACTAAATTCTCAAAACATTCCTTCTGGAAGTTCTGGAGTAGTTTTTTTCTTTACTATTTTAACTATTGTGTTTTAGTACTTTTAACTTTTTTTACTGGATTTCTTAATTTTTGTTTTGTTTTTTTCTTTGTGATTTCCAACATTTTGAATAGTTCTGTAAAAAAATAGTTTGGTCAAATATAGTGGCAATTGACAATTTTATACGAGTGTAATAAGGTTGAATACCAGGTCTTCATAATTTGTTTTGGATCTAGAAATAAGTAATCCAGGAGAATTTTTTAAAATGTATTGTTGATTAGATGTTTTGATAAGCACATTGTATTTTTTAATTACTGTAGCCCTACTAAGGACTATCCAGATACTTTCTATGTGTGTTTTATATTTCTTTCTATTCCAATGGTGGATCAGATAATTATGGCTAAGATTTTAATCAAATTTTAGATCTTCTGTCAGATTGTTATATTACTCCAACTAAATATAATTCTTGTACATGTAAAATATTAGAAGCTTGTTTGTGGAGTTTAATTTGATGAATTATAATAACTTTTAATTCATCACAATAAAAATATAATTTTTGTTCAATTGCACACCAGACTTATTTTCGTATCTTGACCTTTAATTGATTTGTTAGATAATTGTAATATAGTTTCTGTTGCAAGATACAATCAAGTACTAATAACATTATCAATTACTCTAAGAAAAAAATGTGTGGTTTCTTCAAATAATATTTAAATACATCAATATTAAAAGAAGTATATTTTATAAAACAGATGAACAAAAATTCAAATAATTTTTTAGCTGTTGATTTTTGGGAGACTCAGGGTTGTCACGGGTGCTGCTCCAGAAATAGGCAGATGGGAGACTCAACTTGGGAGGTGGGGCCTTAGGGATCAGTTGAGATTGCTGCTGTTGTGCCAGCCTCCCTGCTGCATAGCAGCTTCCCTGCCTGTGCTGCTTGATGCTGTCCCTGGATTGCCACTGGCAATCTCCAGGCTTATGGCCATAGGGACTTCAGCATATCCTCCCTGGGGGTGGATTCAGAGGCAGCTTAAGAATTCATGGCCTTCACGGCAGCCATGGACCTGACCCAGTTTATTCAAGCTTGACTCATTGGGGGGGGGGGGGGGGGTGTCACACACTAGACCTGGTTTTTGCTTGGGGGTGGTGGTGATGTGATTTTTGCAGTACATGGACAGTTCTACATCTTTCTTAATGAAAACACTAAAACCCCAAATGCAGCTGCTCTGTGATCTTACCCATTTAGTTTTTAAATAATAAATGGTTAAATTGATTTTTGGTTCTGATATATTAAAATAAATTGATACTTTCTTGTAATATTTTGAATAGTGTATTCTTTATTTTATTTTATTATTGTCAGCTTATTTGGTTTCACCAGAATTTGTGTTCTTTTTTGATAGATTTCCCCCTTTTTCCTCTAAGTGAAGTTCCAGTCCTAAGTAATACCAACTTCTGTTGTTTCTCTGGCATTTTTATTTCTATATACTATCAGACCTTCTTTCATAACTTTAAATTATCTTAAAGCATCATGAACTGATTTTTCTTTTTCTCTTTTTCTCTATATTTTCGACTTCTAAGAAGCTGCTTAAATATTAAATTTTGTTGAATTTAATAATGCTGAAGTCATTCATTGTTCAACAAAAATACTCCTTTTGCACCAAATGCTAAGCATTTCAAAATAAATTCTTAGTTGCCTTGTTTTGCCTGTAGGCAGCTTCCCAGTCATTCCAAGACACCTTCATTTGTTATATCTAGAAATACTATGCATTAGTTGCAACCAGAATATTATCTATATAATAAATGGGAGGGTAGCTGAATTCACCTATTATTACTATATTTTCTCCTATTTCAGTTCCTTTTCAAGATCACAGTGTATTCTTGATACATTATTTTGGGGGTTAGTGATGTATATATGTTTTGGCCTTAAAAGGCAATATTTTCTACCCTTCAAAGGATGCAGCAATATGTGTTATTATGGCAGAAATTTTGTGATATCTTACAATAATATCTGATATTGTTTATATTATAGTTGTGAATTCACTGGTAAACCAGTGACTGTTGATAAGTATAAATATAAGATAGATTTTTCTCCTTCTTAGTTTGTATCTTTAGTTTGTATTTTTAATTTTTAAGTGTCTTTTTTTAAGATTAAAGATTGTTTTGTTAGAAAAAATAAATATATTAAACAAAATTTTTTAAAAAATTAAAAAATGTTTTGACCTTACATTTAGGCAGTCTTAAAGGACTGCTACAAACTGACATCCCATGTGTACAACTGCCATTTTATAAGTTATGGTTTCTTCTACATTCCTTATATGTTAAAGGAATGGGAATCTATTGCCAATTACTGTTTTTAAAAATAAGAATCAATACCTTGCATATATGTGTTTTATATTTTAAATTTTCTTAAACCATAGCACAGTGATAGCTGTAAGTTAATATGGAAGTTATCTTGTGAATAGGCTTCTTTTCTCATTTTGGGAGGAATATTAGGATATCCGTCTGTCTGTCTGTCTGTCTGTTACAATAAAAGGAGGACTTGTAATCATTACATGCCCAGCCAGTCTCCTCTGGTGTTTACAAATTTTGCAATTATAAGAAGGAAGTATCATGAGCAGTATCAGCTCTTATGATGTTATCTCCTTTTGACTAGGTTTGTGAAATTGCTCCCAAGTATTCAACTATTCTACCTTGGTTTCCTAGACTTCTAACAATAAGTCTGTAAAATTATATGTTATAGGTAGGTAGGTAGATAAATAGATCTATATAGGCAATTTGTTATTTATTTTCAGATAGTCATCTCTCTCCAGCCTTTTTTTAGCCATTTCCAAGTGGCTAGACTGCTAGAAATGATGAAACACATATTTCTTCCTTCATCAGAAATTAACTTTGCCTCTGCCTACTTATCATATAAACCAATTTGGCTCCTTATGAAATGCTTAATTCCAACTGCCAAACATTTTTATTGTTGTTATTGTTTAATAATAACATTGAAATTTATGTTCACATGTTTTGTTCTGATGTCTCTGGAAAATGAGAGTTCAGTCATTATTGAGAAAGACCTTTCTCCCAAACTGGGGGGAAAAAGTTGTCACAAAATACTTAAAGCGGGAGGAAGATTTCCTTGAGGGTAAAACCCTAGTAACGCCATGTAATGCAGATTGGAAAAAGAATGGCTGAAAGCAGTCTGCAGTTATATCAGTTGGAACTTCATATCACGAGAGCCTATGTCACTTGCCAGCGTGGCGACAAAGATAGCAAGATCCAGTTGATATAAATATTTTGAAATATTTTGTAATTAATTTCAGTGGATTCCTAATTTTCATTTATAAATTCTACTGTATCATCTTAATCCATATTTCTGTTTTTTTCCAGGCATTAGATGGTCAGAATATTTATAATGCCTGCTGTACCTTACGGATTGATTTTTCCAAATTGGTCAACTTGAATGTAAAGTATAATAATGATAAAAGTAGAGATTACACTCGTCCTGACCTTCCTTCTGGTGATGGTCAACCAGCTTTGGATCCAGCTATTGCTGCTGCATTTGCAAAGGAGACTTCACTTCTAGGTATGATTTTGTTTGTTTTGATCCTCTTTCTCAGTTGTTTGTACTGTATATAGTGCTTCATAAACTAGGTGTCATCTGTAGATTATGTATACACATGCACACATATATACACACACATACATATGAATGAGATTATTGAATCAATTGGATCCTAAGAATAACATTACTTGATTACTGTTCTCACCACTTTTTTGTCTTTTCTTTCTTAACTAATTACTTATTTATATCATTTCAAGTCTTTTTCAATCTGAGTACCTGCTACTGAAATTCAGGTAATAAGTCTCCCACTTTGGAAGGTACTTGTATTAATATTGCATTAATTTAATGCATCATCCAGAGTCTGTTGAAATAAATGCTAATACATGTCCTATTCTACATGGCCCTTTTTCCTCATATTTTTGAAGGAAGGGCATCTGACTCCACATGCTACAGAATAAGAACTTCAGGGTTAAGCTCAGTATGTTTGTGTAATATTTAGATTATCTGTTTTTATAATACATACCGTATTTTTCCGACTATAAGATGATACTTTTTTCTAAAATCCTTACCCTAAAAACGGAAGGGGGTCTTATTCAAGGAAGTCAGCCGAGAATCG